GAGAGGACCACACCATTCTAACTCTCTCAGCCAATCCTCTTCCACTATACATATATAGGATGTGTGGTACTTGGGATTCCTGTATCATACTTAGCCTTTGATATGGCTCTTGAAACTAAAAGACAACAGAAAATGTTGAATTTAACAACCCATTACAATGCTTATTAGAGTGTTTTTATAAACTCTAAAGTGTTATGCAAGTGTGGTAGTCAATAAAATAGCATATCCAGCACTCACCAGAGAGAATGGCCATCTTGCCACACAGGAACTTGAGGACTAGATAAATCCTCTCCCTTGGATAGAATTAGAGAGGGTATGGAATTTAGGAATTAGAATATAATTGATTACATTAATTATCCATAGTCTCTAAAATATTTTAAATTAGAAACAAGTCTATTTAAAGTTTTAAGACTTACAAAGAATGAAACTTTTCATTAAATTAAAGAAATGGGTTAAGTCAGGCAATCCTATTTTACATTAAGAAAGTTAAGAGACATTGCCTCAAGCCCTGAGTTTATGGGGAGAGGTCCCATGAAGTGGGAGGGTGGAGAAGACAAAGACGCAGAGGGATGCTGATGAGGAAAGATGGGGGGCCCTTTTCTGTTGACCAAGAACTCGGAGGCAAAACACAGTTGAACAGCAGCCTGCTGGCCTCATAGCACCTTTTAAGTCCCATCTGCCCTTGTGTGCTGGGGACAGGAGGTAGTGACAGAGGGTATGGGTCATGGCCAGAGGTTCCTTTCCTCAAAGCAAACAAGCAAACACCACATATGGCTCTCCAGCCCAGGACTTCTTTTCTTTGGTCAGTATTCTGGGACTTTTATTAACACATTAGATTTTCTCATGTATTTGCCTTCAGTCAAGGAAAGCTTATGTTTTCATCCTTTGAACAAATCAGATGTGGCAAACCTTGAAGGAGAGGTGGCTCTCCCCCACCACTGTGCTGCCCAGTATGTCATCAGGTGGGCTGGTGAGCGGAGCACACAGCTGTTTTCAGCTGATAAAGGGGAGAGATGTGTCCTTGATTTTATTTCACTTTCTTTGGTATGTGTGGGCATGGTGCCAATATATTGTTTTTTTTTTTTTTTTTTTTTTTTTTTTTAACTATACTTCTTCAGTTTCATGAAATGTAATTTAATTTTGTTCTACAGTGAATCCTAACTGATGTTTTTACTTTTCTGGGGTGGAGTGGGGGCTAAATTTTTGTTGTTTTCTGTGTCTGACTGGGCAGGGCTTTGGCTCTTGTCCCTTGCCCCACCCTGCCCAGGGCCTGCCACTTAGCAAGTACTCTGTACATATATGTTTGATGAGCAAGGTCCTGAGCACGAATGCCCAAGGCGCAGGCACGGTACTGCCAACTGGAGAGTCAGGCAGCAGCCTGGGTATTCTTCAGCACAGTTCCTTTCCGGGAGGGTATTTCTTTTCTGTGTGATCAATGAGAACAGGAGTCCCCAGGATAATTTTACACAGGTCAGTCTTTTTGTATATACGCTGCCCCCGCATATGTAAAATGGATTTAGCATATGCCTTTCCAAAACTGCAGTGCCTTGCCTCCCTAAACCGCTTGTGGCTGATGGACTCTATCCAACGTGGAGCTGTGCTGCCCCCACAGCCTGTAGAAGGCCCAGGGTCTGGCCTTGGCAATGACTGTGGTTCATGAAGTGGATAATACAATGACACATACATGTTCTCTGAGGGAACCTTGGTCACACACAGCCCAGGGAATTTATGTTATTGTAATTTTGGTTCTGAGGTGTTCTTTTATCATTACTTTTATTTTTAGTAACTTTAGTAGCTTTACTGTGATGTAATTCATGTACCATATAACTTATCCATATTAAGTATACAATTCAGTGTTTTTAGTTTATTCACTCTAAGTGGTGCAGCCATCACCGCTATCAATTTTAGAACATTTTCATCACCTGAAAAGAACCCCATGCTTCTTAGCCATCATTTCCTGCTCCCTATCCCACCCACACCCCTAGGGAACCACTAATCTGCTTTTCTGACTATGTATTTGCCTATTCTAGACGTTTTGTTATAAATGGAATCACACAACGTGTGGTCCTTTGTGTCTGGCTTCTTTTGCTTAGCATGATGTTTTCAAGGTTCATCTACCAGGACCTCATTCCTTTTCGTGGCCGAATACTATTCTGCTGTATGGATAGACCACATTTTGTTGAACCGTTCATCAGTCAGTGGACATTCCACTTTTAGGCTGAGTTATGCTGCTACGAACATTTGTGTAAAATCTGAGGATTTGTTTTTACATTTTTAATCTATGTCACTTTGAACTGAGACATGTACAGGTACACAAGTTTGGCTCCTTTTGGAATTCTAAGACACAGTATTTCTTGATGGCAGTGGAAGTCACATGTCATGCAGCTGAATAGACTGCAGGGTAGCTAAAAGGAAGCACTCCTTCATGCAGCTGGGCTTGATTTTAGGGAAAGTAAGCTTGAAATAATTTTCTCTATTTTTTACTAATAATTTTCTGTGTGTACCTAAAACATATATTAGCACGAATGTTTATAATTTCAAATATGTTTTTGGCTAAAAAAAAATAAGGGGCCGGGCGCAGTGGCTCAAGCCTGAAATTCCAGCACTTTGGGAGGCCGAAGCAGGTGGATCACGAGGTCAAGAGACCGAGACCATCCTGGTCAACATGGTGAAACCCTGTCTGTACTAAAAATACAAAAAATTAGCTGGGCATGGTGGCGCATGCCTGTAATCCCAGCTACTCAGGAGGCTGAGGCAGGAGAATTGCCTGAACCCAGGAGGCAGAGGTTGCAGTGAGCCGAGATCGCGCCATTGCACTCCAGCCTGGGTAACAAGAGTGAAACTCCGTCTCAAAAAAAATAAAATAAGGGTCTGTGCCCTCAAAGCACTCATTTCAGTCTTGCTTAGGGCAGAAAGGTGGCTGTGGGGTGTGTGTGGGGACAAGGCAGACCTCCAGCATGTGGGCAAGGTGGTGCCTCTGCTGGGATGAAAGGGGCCTGTCAGAGTGCCAGGGGACAACTCAAACCGGACTTAGGGTGAAATGGTAGGGATGTTGGGGGAAGCTTCCAGAAGGAATTTCACGACCAGGTTGGAATCTACAGGAGGAATGGGTATAAATCAACAAGAAAACAGGGTAGAAGGCTGGGTGCAGTGGCTCATGCCTGTAATTTCAGCTCTCTGGGAAGCTGAGGCGGGTGGATCATCTGAGGTCAGGAGTTCGAGACCAGCCTGGCCAACATGGTGAAACCCCATCTCTGTCAAAAATATAAAACTTAGCTGGGTGTGGTGGTGCATGCCTGTAATCCCAGCTACTTGGGAAACCGAGGCAGAAGAATCCCTTGAACAACGGAGTTGGAGTTGCAGTGAGCTGAGATTGTGCCACTGCACTCCAGCCTGGTGACAGAGTGAGACTCCGTCACAAAAAAAAAAAAAGCAAAAGAAAAAAAAATCAGGGTAGAAAGGAAGGAGAGAGTTCCCAAGCAGAAAGCTGAGCATGTCTGGAGCGTCACCTGTTCCGGGAGTTGAGAGTGGGACTCACGGCGAGGTGTGGTGGGAACTGCAGATGAGAGGAGCAGGGAGGGGCCTGGTACCCCTGATAGCTGCAGCAGATGGTTTGGACTCTCTACCCTATGAGCCAGGTAGTCATTAAAGGTAGCCCCATGAGCAGATCTGCATTTTGGCCACTCAGAAGGGGACACACAGGATCAAGGGTGGGATCTTGTTTCCTCTGTGGTGGGAGCACAGGTCATCTCTGGGGTGACAGTGGGAAGTTTGAGGTGGGGGGGGACTCGGAAAGAACCAGTTTGTGGAACAAAGTGGGGGGCAGGGGTTGGAGAAGCAGATTCAGGGATATTGAAAAGATGAATATTTTAAATCTGCATCATCAGTCATTATGGAGATCCCTAGGGATGTGGCAAAGCACTACACTTACGTAATTGTGCTTCAGTATGTCCCTTGCCTTAACTGAGTTGAACTTAGTTAAATTGAGCTGCCTTAATTGAACTGAAAGTGCCAATAAAAATAGAACAAAAACTGCCAAAACAAATTCTGTGGATGCTGGAGCACCAGCCATATTCAGTCTCATGACAGCCAAGACTCAGCAGCTCCCTTGTCGATTTCACATATTTGTTATTTATTCTTGATTTGAAATTAAAAGCCTGGAAGAGAAGCTAATTATTAAAGGGAATCAAGGAGTCAGGCAGCGGTGGGGGTGGGGTGGGGAGGAGGAGATTTAGGTGAGCTGTTATTTTGCTGCAATTGGGACGCCACAGTATCTCAATCCTAGAGTTGGAGGGCAGTTAAATGCAGGGCAGGGCAGGATAGGGGAGGCAGACTACCCGGGCGTGGTTGTGGGGACCTAAGGAGATGTGTTCCTGCACGTGATGCTGTATGAGGAACTGAGGCTCAGAGAAATCCAGATGGTGGATAAAAGGTAGGTCCATCTGACTCCAAATTGGTGGTCTTCCTGCTCCAGCCAGGTGCCACACAGTGAGATGTAGAGGTGGCAGCAGGGGCCCTGCTGTGGCTGTCCAAGGCACGTGGTACACACAGGAGGTAGCAGAGGAGGCTTCACACACTGGCCATTCCTTTATTAAACTCTCTTTAGATGGGGAGCCCTCCCTGGGGCTAAGAGTAGAACTGCTCTCACCTTCTGACCATCTCTGTGTATCTGTTACTGCAGATGAGAAACACCATATAATGGTTTCAGGGGACTAGATATACTTGCATGGCAAGGCCATAATTATGGGCCCGGTGAGTACTTCAAGGGGACATTTAGTCTGTCTGCATTAAGCCAGGCTTCTCTTCTAGCTCTGTGATGCAGCTGGCTCTGAGAGACGAGCCCTTGGGGAGGTAAGACCATGCTTATAATAAGATCCTGCCACACATGCAGATGTCAGAGCAACCCAGATCACCTTGGAGTAGGCACGCTGTACAGCTGAGCACATGACTTCCACTCCTCTGCTCAGAGCAATGACTTGTGGCTTTTATTCTTTGTCCAGGTATGTACCCTCTGGTCACAGCAACCCAGGATGCTGAGAGCAGCCAGAAGCTGGCCCACTTGCTGAATGCCGTGACTGACGCTTTGGTCTGGGTGATCGCTAAGAGTGGCTTCTCCTCCCAGCAGCAGTCGGTGCGCCTGGCTAACCTCCTGATGCTCCTGTCCCACATCAGGCATGCGAGGTATGCGCCTTCGGGAGCTGCTCGGCTCAGGCGTGGGGTGGGATTATGTGCTCAGAGGAGGGTGAAGGGATTTGGGAAGTGTTTGAAAGCTAAGGAAAATGAATGCCTGAAAGGGAATGGGGGATTTGTCAGCTTACACACCTGTAACCAAAGATGGGCAGAGTGGGCATTGAAGGAATGTCACGTGGTATCTTTCAGGATCTTCACAGCATCCAGTGGTGGCTCATCTGTTTTTCAGTTGCTGGGTTTATAGCCTGTTTATGGAGTCCTAAAAGGGGCAGTTCCTCCCCTTACATGAACTGCCACCCCTCTTTATACCACCCAGGGCTGAGGCCCTGAAGTCATTTTTTTGTGGAGAGGCTCAGACCTCTACTAGATGGCCCTTTAAGCTGGTGATATGGAGAAGTGCACAAAGGCTTCCCTAAGAGTTGTTCTTTTGATGGCATCAGGAAATTAAGGACAAGACCTAAGAGAAGTGGTATGCCCAACAGATGTAGGAAGGCAGAGCTGAGGGTATGGCATGTTTCTGATCAGGAAATGTAATGGTGTGTGGTGGTGGCTACTGCCAGGACAGTGATGCTCAGTGCTTGGTGTCACCCAGAATGGAGGGTAGACTTACCCTGGAGCTCGAGGAGGGAAGTCGAGAAGGGAAGGTAATTAAGTGCTCACTGAGGAGCAAGTATAAAGACTGTGGGGAAGGACGATATATACCCCAAGAATCTTCTTTTTTTTTTGAGATGGAGTTTTACTCTTGTTGCCCAGACTGGAATGCAATGGCGCCATCTTGGCTCACTGCAACCTCCGCCTCCTGAGTTTGAGGGATTCTCCTGCCTCAGCCTCCCAAGTAGCTGGGATTACAGGCATGTGCCACCATACCCAGCTAATTTTGTATTTTTAGCAGAGATGGGGTTTCACCAGGTTGGTCAGGCTGGTCTCGAACTCCCGATCTCAGGTGATTTACCCGCCTTAGCCTCCCAAAGTGCTGGGATTACAGGCTTGAGCCACCACACTTGGCCTTCACCTCAATAATCTTAAAAAGCAAGAGGAGAGGAAGAAGACTTCTGCCTGTTTCCCCTTTAATGGTTACTCAGCACACAACCATTTTGTTTGTAGATACACTTGATCCTGTGTTTGTAGATTCCTTAATTGTGAATTTATCTGCTTCCTAAAATTTACTTGTAACCCCCAAATCAGTATTCATGGTGTGTTTTTGAGGTCATTAACAGTGGCAAAAATTTTGAGTCACCCTCTATGCACAGTCCCAGCTGAGATGGAACAAGCAGCTGCTCTCCTACTGTAAACAAGTGTCCTTTATTTGGTCTACTTAGCGTCATGGTTTTACATTTTTGTGCTTTTGGTGGGCAACTTCACTGTTTAAATGGGGCCCCTGGTGTGGTGCTGAAGAGCTGTCTAGTGTTCCTCAGTGTGAAAAAGGTGTGATGTGCCTTATGGAGCAAGTATGTGTTAGATACGCTTTGTTCGAGCCTGAGTTACAGTGCTGTTGGCCATGAGCCTAATGTTAATGAGTCAACGATATTAGATGAGGCATCTTTAAAAAGAAACACACATGCAACAAGGTTTTGTGATTAGCCAATGAAGATGTGACCAGAGGCTTGCAGGAACCTAACCCCGTGTTTCCCCTAGGAGTGATAATTCAGTGTTCACAGTGACGTTGTGGAACATAATTGCTGCAAATAATGAGAATCGACTGTCCTATGTGCCAGGCCATTGCGGGTGTGTGGTGGGGCACAGAGGCTGATAGGACACTCCTTGCCCTTGAGCATAAATTATCAGGGGGAGCTGGATGCATGTGCCATGGAGCAATGGGCTGGCAGAAGTGTGGGATTAGGGGTGGGGTAGACTGGCTGTGCGCAAAGAGAACTGGGGAAGGGTTTGGTGTCCTGTGGCTATCTCAGAGGAGGGAATCTCAGCACCTTTTTGTCCCCATAGTAACAAGGGCATGGAACATCTGCTCAGCATGAAGTGCAAAAATGTGGTCCCAGTGTATGACCTGCTGCTGGAGATGATGAATGCCCACGTGGTTCGCGGGTGCAAGTCCTCCATCACGGGGTCCGAGTGCAGCCCGGCAGAGGACAGTAAAAGCACAGAGGGCTCCCAGAACCCACAGTCTCCGTGACGCCTGGCCCTGAGGTGAACAGGCCCACAGAGGTCACAGGCTGAAGCGTGAACTCGAGTGTGTTGGGAGCCTGGGCTTCATCTTTCTGCTGTCTGGTCCCTCATTTGGTGATGGCAGGATTGGTCATGTACCTTCCTTCCCCTGACCTCCCCACCTCCCAGGAGACAGGGTGAGGAAGCCATAGTTTCCTTGTTAGCAGGGCACACACTTGAATGCAGTGATTTCATACTGAACAGCGTCACAGGATCTCGATGTGGTCTTTCTTACACATCTCCCTTTCTCCCCTTTGTGAAACATCTTAAAGGTTTTGGAATGAATGGTGGAAATGTGACCTGAAAGGGCTGTGAATCAGAAAGGGGAGAGGAAGTAACACGCTTACAGGAAGTGGACTAACCCTTCTTGTGCCGCACACACTACCTTTCCCTTTGAGTTGACCTTTGTATGCTTTTGTCTGGACCACTTGATTGTAAGACTGAAAACCCCTGTGACAATTGCGTACCTACCTCCCAGGCCTGTGGGGACTGATCGTATCGTGATGCTTATTCTGTCAAAGGCCAAAGGGACTGTAGCCAGGCTGGGATGTGAGTCATGTTCTCTCTCTGACCTTGCTGCCAGCTACACACAGATTAATCCCTCTTGATGTGCATTCACAGGGCCTGCCAATAATTTGTGGTATGTGTGTATGAGAGTGTGATCATTTTCATGGAAGACTGTGGGAGATACACATCTCCCTGCTCCTGGAGCTGCCCTTCCTTAAACCTCTGTTGTCCCATGGGGCCAGCATGGGTGCTGGAGAAAGGCCGTGTTTGCAGGAATGGGGTTCTCTCCTGTGGGTGTGGGTGACAGTCACAGTGTTTCCCTGGGGGCATTGTGGATGCAGTTTCCATCCACAGTGGAAGCAGCCACCCCAAGCAGTCAGGGACACTTTGAGCTGTGGGTGTGCACAGCATGCTGTTTTGCAGATGGATGAGTAGCCACGCACCCCAATGTGTCAGCTCTGGGGCCATACTGCATAGCCTTGATGAGTACACCCCTTGAACAAGACCTGGTTTGTGAACTCTCCTGAAACACAAATATTTAGGGATAATTATTTATAGCAAGAAAGAATTCTTTTACACTTGAGAGCTCTTTTAAAAAAGATTTTATGGTGGTTTCTGGGTGAAAAAGAAACAGTAAAAATATTAGTTCTTATTCCAAGAGGAACACAAATAGGACATGAAGAAAGGCGCCTCTGAAGTGACAGTTTTAAGTCACTTTTTTTTTTCTTTTTGAGACAGAGTTTCACTTGTTGCCCAGGCTGGAGTGCAATGGCGCGATCTCGGCTCCCTGCAACCTCCACCTCCAGGGTTCAACTGATTCTCCTGCCTTGGCCTCCCAAGTAGCTGGGATTACAGGTGCCTGCCACCATGCCCAGCAAATTCTATATTTTTAGTAGAGACAGAATTTCTCCATGTTTGTCAGGCTGGTCTTGAACTCCTGAACTCAGGTGATCTGCCCACCTTGGCCTCCCAAAAAAAGTGCTGGGATTACAGGAATAAGCCACTGTGCCCGGCCTTAACTCACTTTTTAAAAGATTTGAAATTTTCAGTTTTGGAAACAGTCAATGTGCAAAATGAGTAACAGCATACTTTGGAAGCAAGCAATGAAACAATCATGTTTGATTACTGCAGTAATGTTTTAAACAATTACCTTGTGATATATTAAATATATTTTCTTTTTGAAAATAGGTTCACTTTGGCTAGTGTATCCTGTATTTACTAAGTCATTAGGAAGATTACATTCAGTGTTAGAAAGATTGGTTTCTGCTAGTGAGACCTTGAATAATCCTTAATTTTGATATTGGTGCAGTTTTACTAAAAGTTGAGCTTAGCTGTTTCAGAAACGCTTGGACAAGTACCTAGAGAACATAGTGCTGTCTGTGTTCTGAGGCAGTTTGAAGTTATTCGTAGTGACTCAGTGTTACAGCCTTAGTAAGATTTAGTACAGGTAGGATTAGCTTGATTTCATAGAAACCAGGGAACCAGTTAGTGTCAGTTTCTTTCTTCCTGGCCAGCCTAGAATCCCCAACTCCCAAGAGAGGGGTTTGGAAGCTGGAGAGTAGGAAGTAAGAGGCAAAGGAGGCAGCCTTTAACAACTCATTATCTTCCAGTGAAATTCCACTAAACGTATTTTTAAAGGAGATTACCAGGTAACAAAAACAAAAAACCAAAACAAGGCCAGATGTGGTGGCTCATGATTGTAAATCCCAATGTGCTGGGAGGCCGAGGCAGGTGAACCATGTGAGCCCAGGAGTTTAAGTCCAGACTGGGCAACATGGAGAATCCCTGTCCTACAAAAAAATGCAAAAATTAGCCAGGCGTGAGGGCGCAGGCCTGTAGTTCCAGCTACCTGGGAGGCTGAGGTGAGAGCATCACCTGAGCCTAGGGAGATCAAGGCTGCAGTGAGCTGAGATCATATCAAAGCACTACAGTCTGGGCAACAGAGGGAGACCCTGTCAAACACAAAAATTACCAGCCAGGCGCAGTGGCTCATGCCTGTAATCCCAGCCCTTTGGGAGGCCAAGGTGGGAGGAACACAAGGTCAGGTGTTTGAGACCAGCCTGGCCAACAAGTTTAAACCCCATTTCTACTAAAAACACAGAAAATTAGCTGGGTGTGGTATTGGGTGCCTGTATTCCAGCTACTTGGGAGGCTAGAGCAGCAGAATCACCTGAACTTGGGAGGGAGGAGGTTGCAGTGAGCCAAGATGGTGCCATTACACTCCAGCCTGAACTTGGGAGGGAGGAGGTTGCAGTGAGCCAAGATGGTGCCATTACACTCCAGCCTGGGCAACAAGAGTAACACTCCATCTTAAAAAAAAAAAAAAAAAAAAAAAAAAATTACCAGGAAATATATATATACTTTTGGAGAGATCTTAAGACAGATTTCATTCCTACTCCTGAGAGTGAATTGGCAATGGCAATCCCTTTAGAGCCTTGAGAGGGCAATCTGGCACGTGTGCCGCAGTGTTTCGGCTGTTCTCATTGAATCTCCCTCTGTTCTCACCTCACCCCTCTGTCTGGCCTCAGGCCTGTCCCATACTCACTGCCCACCAGGACTGACTACAAAAGATTTGACCCTAAAATAGTCTTGAAGGGATTTTTCTCAAAAAAGTAAGGTGGGAACCTGAGACAAAGCTGTCAGCCTAACAACAAATCTGAGGACTCTTATCTGCATTAAAAACAAAACAGGGCAAAATTGACGGGAGCTGTGCAGTACAAGTCTTGATCTGGAATACGTCTGCTAACCCAGCTGGAAGGGCAACTATTTTAGATTTCAGTAAGGAAGAAAAATCAGTTACCAATACTTGGCAGAGCCATATTACAAATCCACATATATTTATATATATAAGTGGAGTTGAAGCAATTCTAGAATTTTCTAGCTTATGAAAACGGGGTTTGGTTCTTATTTACATCTGCTAAAGGACTTTTCAAATTCAAAGTGAACCTTCTGTTTATAGGCCTATTTTGAAACAAAGTATCTTGATTTAATACTATTTGACACTGTTTTTTTGAGAGGGTCTCAGTTCTGGCTAGAGTGCAGTGGCACCATCATGGCTCACTGCAGCCTCGAACTCCTGGGCTCAAGTGATCTTCCCACCTCAGCCCCTGCCTTCCCTAAGTAGCTGGGACTACAGGCTCAAACCACTACACCTGGCCAATTCTTTGTAATTTTTGTAGAGATGGAGTCTTGCTGTGTTGCCCAGGCTGGTCTTGAACTCCTGGGCTCAAGTGATCTGCCTGCCAAGGCTTCCCAAAGTGCTGGGATTACAGGCATGAGCCATTGTGCCCAGCCCGACACGTTTTTAAGCTGCTGAAAACCTTTTAAAAAGATAAAAACACATTATTTAGTACCTAAAGATAATATTTGTGCCAGACAGTTCCTGGTGCCTCAGTCATTCACATTTAATCCTTTTAAGAACTGTTGTTGTCCTGATTTTCTGGTTTTGGAACTAGAGGCAGTGTAAGCAAACTTGCTCAAGGTCACATGGGGAATAAGCGATGAGCTAAACACAGGCAGTCTAAGTCCAGTGCCGACAGTGACCATGCACTTCAACCAGTTTAAAAAAAAAATTGTTTTAAAACTGCAGAATCTGTCCATCAGATGCAACCTGACATGCATGGCTGCTGTGATTTAAATGAGGCCTCCTCGTGTCACCCCCTCACCTCCTACCACAATGTCCAGGACACCCTAGACACAGTTAGTTTGTAAACCTCTGACAGAAGTTCAACTGTACCTTTCATATATGTGTAAATTAAAGCTCACAGGGGCAAATGCACCTATTCAAGGTCATTTAAAACAACTCATGGCAAAGCTTGGACTGGCGCTCAAGTCTTCTGTTCACCTGGTGGGCCAGTATCGCTCCTGCTCCAGGACTTGTTTCTTGAGACTCTGCTTTGTGAGCTGAGTCACAGCAGAAAGGAGGGGTAGTGAAGTTAGGGTTGCTTTCCGCCGTACCTTTAGATCCCATCTCCTCAGCTTAGCTGGGTCTGCATGCACTGTTACAGAAAAGCACCAGTGACAGATGGAAAAATAAGATGGTTCTGTTATTCCCACTGTCCCATCTCAGGTTTGTGAGCTGGTGGGTACTGCTATCACCTCCTATCCGTGACTGCTTTCCCTGAACACATGCAATATGTTCCTTGGACATGTACTCGTGTAAAACTAACATCTTTTAGGCACTGATCCTTCCCTGTGGTGTGTGGTATACTATAGTGTGAAAACATATGCCACTTATACTTTATAGCTCTCACACTTGCTGGAATTTTGGTTCCAGTGGCGGCTCTTAAGATGTGCATTATCCGTGATGTATTATTGAAATGCCATTTTTGTTGCTTTGGAGTCAATGATTATTTTTTTCAATTCCAAGGATTCTATTGACTTGTAAGGCTGGCCACTGGTAACTGGTGGTGGGTTTCCTCTATGGGAAGCACATAAGGCATGGCGATGCCAGCTGTGAACAGTTCCTGTTAACTGGATGGTTTTGCATTTGTTTCCTCTGTTGGGTTTCTAAATGCCTTAACTGTTGGTCCTATACCTTTTATCATTTAATGTGTACCTCAGAGCCTATTGGTTGGCTATAATTTGCCATTTTCTCAGATGAATGCTTTGTACCATTACACTAATTTGTTCACTTCATTTGCAGGCTTTACATTTGGGCCTTGTAGAAATGAATGTATGCTGCTATGTGAAAGCAGACTTTGAGACCTGCTCTCCCTTCCTCCAGGGAGTTTTTCCTTACTGTGTCCCTTCAATGTCTATGGCACTGTCACAGAGATTTAACATGATAGTAATAAAGTGTTTTCATTATTTTGGCTTTAAAAATGTATTTGTTGAGGGTTGAGTATAAGAATATACAGTAATTAGGCAAAGCAGTGTCTACATTCTTTTCTGAGTTCTATTATTTTGGGGTTAGAGTCCTTTGAGAATTTGATGAAAACCAGGGCTAGTCTTCATGGGAAAAGGCACGAGAACACAAATGCTTGTGTACAATTTCAGAAGAGTTAAGCTCTGCTTTAATGTATGGCTTCTTAAAAAGGGACAGTTTCATCTTTAGTCAGCAATTCTCACACTTGTGATTGATTTATGACCACAGGTTCCGCGTATACAAGTAAAACACAGCCCACAAAAGTCCTGGTATCTAGTGCATCAATTATTTGGATAGATTTTCTATCATTCCATCTGAGTTCAATTAGAATTATATCCTCTGTAGATGGGGAGAAAAGCCACTCATTCATTTTGAAGTTATCTTAGTGCCAACAGTCATGTGAAAATGTTCTTTGCATGTGGGCAATGAAAGATGTGCAGACAATGTAACACCCAGACTACCTCATAAAACAGTTCTGGGAATACACTGAGCTTTGAGTGAAGAAGCTGCAGGGGCCTCCCCGGCGATGGGGGCAAACCAGCTTAAAGGCCTTTGTCCTTTGGAAGGGACAAGAATTGACATACAATATTGGGCTTTGAAATGAAGACCACACTGTTCCTTTTACTGCAACTCTGACTTGTCCCGCATCTCTACTTAAGGGCAGAAAAGGCCTCTCACTCACTCACCTCCTTTGGAATGGAAGATGGAGATTGACTCTTGCCTGAAGCAACGATGGAGCAGTGACCCTCTAATCAACTCGGTGGCCTAAAGAAAAAGTTTGGGTAACATTTTCACTTCAGTTTCCCTCTGGAATCACTGAAGTTATGTGGTTAAAAAACATCTTCCTTTTTAGATCGGTCCAGCAATTTAATAACTGTAAACACTGAAGGTAAAGTGAAGACAGATTCTCTTCAGGTGGTCTCCTTAACTGCCCAGGCCTTGTGGATGTCTCACCCATGAGGGGCACCAATGTGGAAAGCTGAGGCTTCCTCTACTGATGAGTGAGTTCCACTGTTTTCCCCTGAGGTTTGTGCTTTGCTGAGAAGGGGAGGAGGGGACTGGGATGGTGTGGTCAGCGGTGCCTGCCAAGACATGCAGGTTAGGAACTGGGTTCAGTATCTTCTCAAGAAAGGGGAAATGCTCACGCATATCCTCTGTTTAGGTAGAAAGTAAACAATGTTACTGGACTTAAATGGGCAACAGGGGCTTTGCCTGTAACATTTGTTAGACCCCTGACTGCCTGTTAATTTCCTGTGGAGAGGACCGGGAACAGAATAAACTGAGCCGGGCACAGTGGCTCACACCTGTAATCCCAGCACTTTGGGAGGCTGAGGTGGTGTTTGAGACCAGCCTGGCAAACATGGCAAAATCCCATCTCTACTAAAAATGTAATAGTCAGGCATGGTGGCACCTGCCTTGTAATCCCAGCTACTCAGGAGGCTGAGACACGAGAATTGCTTGAGCCTGGGAGGTGAAGGTTGCAGTGAGCCGAAATCAGGCCACTGCACTCCAGCCTTGGTGATAGGAGTAAACTGGGTATAAGTTCCTTCCTTTGTGTCCACCTCCTATTCTGTCTTCGCCATTCCCTATAGTGTCTGAGGGTCACACACACTGAGTAATTTACATACACACACGGGTCCTCTTGCCAAACAGGCTGTGAGTCTAGATCTAAGTTAATTTTGTACAAGTTAAAGACTATAAGACAAGTTTAATTTCCTAAGACTTAGAATGAAAGACTCTCCCCAAATATTTTTAAAATAATTTTTCTTCTTTGGAAGATTAAGCATACCATTGAACTGCTTTGTAAAAGAATCCAGAAGTCTGGCTAATTTTGTCTTTTTAATGAGAAACATCTGAGTTGTACATACCACAAACAGCTTCAAGTTTCTGAACCGCCCCCAACCCCCCCGCCATGGCCAAACAGTTAAAACCCCAAGTGTCACTCTGGATGTGAAAAAGTCTTAGAAAATTAACTTACAAAAACATCCCTATCAAGTCAGCAGTTTGGCATTTACTGTACATTAGTCAGTCAAAAGCTCCAGCTAAAATCTGACTTTTAAAAAAAATCAAAGTTTACATTATTCATACAGATTCGGCATTGTTAAAAAATATGCACAAATAACCACATCCATGCAATATAATTTCTTTAAAAATGTAAACCAATATAAAAGAGCAGAGCTAGGTACTTAACAGAACATTTTGGTGTATAACCTGTAGCTCAAAATTGCCAGCTGATCAGAGTAAAACTGATTCTAAATGTATTGAATATGATTGTTTTCATTAGCTAAGGGTGCCTATGAGTTTCTGAACCATTTCTAGGGTGGAATGTGCTCACTTGCTTCTATAATATACATCATGGACACCACTGCTCATTGATCATATTAGCTACTTTATGATAATGCTGTTTTACAAATAAATCAGAATTCACAAAGTGCTTGGCTCTTCAGGAAACTGACATTTCCAGAGATCCCTAAACCAATCAACTAGCTTTGCCAGAATACCTGGGGCAACTGCCACACAGGTTCCCTGCCCCTGGGGAGGAATATAATTTGAAAGCTGCCCTGGGCTCCAGAGAGCCCATGCGGGGCGAGCCCAGAAGAAGGTGTCTGCACAGGTCCCTGGACCTTGCCAACACTGAGTCACTCACAGATTGGCCCTTAGCCATCAGGCAGGTGGTGTGACACTACAGCCAGTCACTCCCTCTATGTGGGGGGTGGCCCGTTGGTGTACCTCAGCATGGGGTAAAAGGACCTGGCAAAGTTGTTGGCCTGAGTGCAGCTGTAGTCTTCTTCGGAGGAGGGCAGCAGACAGGCCAGGAGCAGCAGCAGCAGGAGGAGCAGCTGCAGGGGCAGGGCCGCCCGGATCACCCGTGAGAGGAAGGAGCGCTGTGGCCGTGTGCTGCCGGCAACCCTGCCAACAGAGGAGGTTGAGAGCTGACCGGGAGGCTCCACAGGCATGACCCACTCTGTTTCCTAACCCCCTGCTTATGTAAGTAAGAAATCCAAGATCTGAGATTTAAATGAGGCCAATAGTTGGGGTTCAGTTTCACAGAAGACCAGCCCTTTCCAGACAAAAGAAAACCAGATTTTTGCAAGGACCTGATAGTGGCATTGGCAAGACTGAGGCAGTGGAAGTGCGGGGCAGGGAATGCACTGCTGTGGTACTAAGTCCCATTACCTGCTCTCTGTCTCCTCCTCGCCTTCTGTCGTTCTCTCTCCTCTGAACTGCTGGGTAAAGAAACTCCAGTTAGTAAGTTGAAGACAGCTTAGTCCTGTCAATGATAAAATATTCTCTCTTAAATTATATAACACCTTCATGTTGTGTTACAGCTAAACTTTGGAGACTAGAGTAATACAACTGGGATTAAATGTCACATGATATAGAAAATAATTAGGTTTGTTACACCACTTAGTTTCAGGGTCAAGTTTGCTGATCTATATTTAATGGCGAAATCAGGAAACCTCTTTAGCAACACTGTAAGAACTCTCATCTTTCACAACTTACTGTGATCCCAAAGAAAAGTAACTGACTAGAAGACAGGTTTTAAGTCTTTAAAAAGAACATTTTATTAAAAAAATATATATTTGTAGTAAGCCTCTCCATGGGTCAGGAAGGCTACAGCAGACCTGTGCTGTCCTGAAATGGCTAATGGCCTCTTGTCCCAAGTTTCTCTCATGTCAGTGACTTTTAAAAATAACCAGTGAGGTTCTCACAGAAGAAAGGGGCTTCTTTTTTTTTTTTTTTTTTGAGACGGAGTTTCGCTCTCGTTACCCAGGCTGGAGTGCAATGGCGCAATCTCGGCTCACCACTACCTCTGCCTCCTAGGTTCAGGCAATTCTCCTGCCTCAGCCTCCCGAGTAGCTGGGATTACAGGCGCGCGCCACAACGCCCAGCTAATTTTTTGTATTTTTAGTAGAGACGGGGTTTCACCATGTTGACCAGGATGGTCTTGATCTCTTGACCTCGTGATCCACCCGCCTCGGCCTCTCAAAATGCTGGGATTACAGGCTTGGGCCACCGCGCCGGGCCAGGAAGGGGCTTCTTACCTTTGTTCGGGGAGCTGGCATAGATGCCGAGAGAGGCTGGTCTCCTGTGTCTACCTTGTCAAAGCCAGGCAGAGGTGAGTCTGGGTTCTGAAATGCAGACCCCAAAGGTTAAGCACAGAAATATATTTCATGCAGATTCTTCATGGTATAGCTCACCCTCCCCCCAGCTTAAATCAATTTTTTTTTTTTGAGACAGTCTCACTGTGTCACCCAGGCTGGAGTGCAGTGGCACAATCATGGGTCACTGCAGCCTTCGCCTCCCAAACTCAAACAATCCTTCCACTTCAGCCTCCTGAGTAGCTGGGACTATAGGCATGTACCACCACACCTGATTAATTTTTTTTGTAGAGATGAGGTTTCACCATGTTGCCCAGGCTGGTCTTGAACTCCTGGACTTAAGTGATCTACCTGCCTTGGCCTCCCAAAGTGCTGGGATTATAAGCATGAGCCACTGTGCTCAGCCTTAAATCTTTCCTCAAGGGGCTCTCCTATTGCTCTCACTCTTAATGTTAATACTCTTTCAGACAAAAAGGAATGTAAACAGAGAAAAGCCAACCAGTATTAAAAACCAAGCCACAGCACAGAGCTGGGGAGACTGAGTGTAGCCACAGCAAGAGGACCACAGCAGCAGTTTCAGTTGATGGTGAGCTCATCCCAGGTCAGTGATGAGATCATGTGGCCATCAAGAGTCTAGTCTTGGCTGCTTAGAAGAAAACAGACTCTAGAATGGAGGGGATAGAACTGCCCTAGGTCTGGTGAGGCCACAGTCTGGGTATTCCCATTGTGTTAAGTTGGACCCATTTTAAAACAGGCCAGGTGTGGTGGCTCATGCCTGTAATCCCAGCACTTTGGATCGCTAGAGTTTAGGAGGTCAAGACTGGCCTGGGCAACATGGCAAGGAGCCTTCTATAACAAATACAAAAATTAGCCACTTCCTTTTTTAAAACGTTTAAAAAATTGTCACACCTCCACTCCCCGGCTTTTCAAAATGATCAAATTCAAAGAGTTTATGCAGCTTTTTTTTTGCCCTCAGAGCGAGATGGAGTCTCGCTCTGTTGCCCAGGCTGGAGTGCAATGGTGCCATCTTGGCTCACTGCAACCTTCACCTCCCAGGTTTTAAGCTATTCTGCCTCAATCTCCCGAATAGCTGGGACTATAGGCGCAAGCCACCACACCTTGCTAATTTTTTGTACTTCTAGTAGAGACGGGGTTTCACTGTGTTAGGATGGTCTCCTCTCCTAACCTCACGATCAACCCACCTCGGCTTCCCAAAGTGCTGGGATTACAGGTGTGAGCCACTGCGCCCGGCTGCTTATGTAGCCAAAGTCTGCACAACTAGAAAAGGGCATGACATGAGGCTCCACTCGGCCTACCTGCCCCTTGCTTACGGCTTCTTAGAGCAGGGCTGCAACACCGCCATCCTGTCTGCATCAATATGGTAATCTTTACATTTAAAAGCTACAGGTAGACTCACCTGGGTTCCCTGTAAGGATATTAAGTCTTGGGACACTTGCTCCCGTAACTGTTTGAGTTTCTTGTCGATAACATGGACCTTTTCTTCAGCTTCAATATACTCTTCTCCATGTCCCTTAATGAGAAGGCTGTTTGAAATCTCCTGTAACAAGTCCACTTGAGGTTGACATTCTACCAGCTCCTTTTCCAGTTGCTGAAAATAGAAAAACTGTGTGAAACAGTGACTTGTCAAAAGGGAAGCTAGTGTGGCCACATGAGGTTTTTCTCCAAGTTCCAGAATGAATGATGGGTGGTACTCAACTCCAGAACCTTCTATTTCTCATATCCACCTGTCTGTGTCCTCCAGCCCAGCACTACTTAGATAGCAGGTGGATTATACCCTGCCCTTACTATTTTTTATTTCTTTTCACGCTGAAGACAGTTGTGACGCTAGAGAAATTAGAGGAAGGGAGGCAAGTGGTGTGGGAAGAGCAGGTCCTTCATCTACCACGGAAGGAAGTAAAGGGAAACTAAAGTCAATCAACTGAGAACCAGCAGCATAACCATACTGTTTAGAAACATGGAGGTTTACACCAGCCAGACAGGCTTTAATTGTTAAGGGTGGTTATCTTGCTTACAATATGGCCACTAGACATGTGGCTATTCATTTGTTTGTTTATTTGAGATGGAGTCTCACTCTGT